AACACAAAAAATAGAGCTTAGTGTTCTCCTCATCCTCCTAAAACTCTGCCGCTGCTTGTTGCTTGCAGACAGCACTGCTATTAGAGTCTAAACAAGCAGACAAATGCAACAACAGAAGAACATTGCTCACACCATGCTGGAATGCAAAGCGAGGGTTTACCAATTCTCCCCCAAATTGAAGGAGGCTCAGGAAACTGCTATATAATTCGCCTGCTGACACACCAAACTGTCTCCAAGTGACATGTGGCAGTTTGTACTGCTGTTCCGTTATTGAATTTTCAGAGAAATGTTATACTGTTGCCTATATCTGCATGGGATAATTATTTTATTTTTAATCTTCTCTTAGGTCTCTCTTTTAAAAGGGTTCAAGAAGAAAGTTTAACTAGAGCAGGGCTGCAGATACATGGAGTTATTCCATGCTACCCCGTCATCCTCTGTGCCCCCACCTGTATCCACATGCCCACATTTATCTGACACTGGCTGGATGCTCCTGGGTGCAAAGAGTGACTTCCTAGCGTGTGTTTGCACAGCACACAACACTGAAGCCCTGTGCACCGACTGGCCTCAGGTGTTTTAGCAGCACAAACATGACTTGCTCAACACCCTGGGGGTTTTGGACACACACAGCCTCTCCCAGCCCCAGCTTCTCGTCCCCATTCTGCAAAGAGGCAGTGAATATTTGTGCAAATGCACAACCTCAAGGAGACCCTCCCTGCTCAAGCCAAAGGGTACTCCTCTCAGTTAAGGTCTTTGAGAATTGCCTTACAAAAGGATTGCCGTGTTCAATCACACAGTGAGAATATGTCTCATTGCATCATTCATCACAGGCACCATCAATTAAAGCTTAGAGGTGCACAAATATCCAGCCCTCTCCTCACCACAGAGCCTGAATCTGATTTGGCTTGAAGAAAGGAACTCGAACGACCATCTGAGAGAATTCAACCATCAGGAAAGGATAAGGTTTTGGACCGGGAATGATGTAGTGAGGAAGTTAAAGAGTGAAAGTCGTTATGCTTTTCAACTCTGCTGTTTTCAGCAAAGGCCTTACTATGTGAAATTGTTCTCCAGGCTGCACCAAAGAAGGGCTTTCCTGAAGCGCTTGCCATTTGCTCCTCTCCATCTCCTTTCCCACTCTCTCCGGGCTCACCTGTAGTCACGGGTGAGGGTGACACAAGACTCCTCCTTCCTCAGCCTGGCCAGGAGCGCTCCCCCCTCCAGCTGCAGCTTGACCAGCCGCGTGTCTTCGAGGACGTTCTTCATCAGCTGCCTGTAGTTCCTCAGCAGAACGGCTGCCTCCTGGAGAGATCGCAAAACAAACGGTTGCTGCAAGGTACAGGCAGTGAAGGTACCACCAAAACCCCATGCCCAACCCAAAACACACACACAAACCACATCTCAGCCCTTCCCCTTGCCCACCTTGAGAAAGGAGGAGTGTTGTTTAGCTTTAGCCTCCACAATCGTGAACCTTAGCAACAAGCAACTGCTGTAACTGAAGGGTCTCTGCTTTACGCTTATCCTTTTAATGCAGCACGATCCTGCCTTGCCCCTCAGTCCAACTGGCTCTGTTAATTGAGTCATTAGAAGCTTAGCAGCAGAGGGAGAACAAGTATCTGTTCTTATTTATCTTTCTCCTTTACTCGCTGCTAAAGCAAACTGGAAGAGATTTCTGCATCTTCACCTGTATTAGCAGGAAACTCCCTTTCTCTCCTTCTGCAACAGGTTCTTTGGCCAGGCCAGCAGAGGTGGGGGAGGAAAGAAGACACATTTTCCTAAGTCTAGTGTCTTCTCTAAGGTCGTTTCTACCTATAACCCCTCTGAGGCTAGTACAGATCACAGTTGTTTGGATAGAAAAATGATGTGATGCTCCTTATGCAACCGTCCCTCCCTCACATAGCTAAAAAAGCAATTTTATTCTATGCCAGCACATCCTCAGAAACTCAATTACATACAACTTTGCTGCAGGGCAAGAGGAGAAACAGTTGAGCTGGTTCTCTGTGCTTTGCTCCCACTCCTGCCTGGCCATGAACAGAGCTCCTGGCTCTCTTCAGGGCTTCTATTTCTTACCAATGCTACTTTGT